ATACTCCGTACGCTAGCACTCGAATATAAATAGAAATTCCTATAATTAGGAAATGCTAAATAATATTATTGTAAATTTAGACATAGTAAACAAGTCAATAAATATCGTTCTCATTGCGTCTGAAGTCCAGACATAATAGGTATTACGACGATATTACATACGTCGTATTACGTGACCACTACTCCCCACTCGGTAAACAGTAATCACAAAATCTAAGAATCTAATTTCAGAAATATTTTCCGATAAGGCGATAATATTTCACTACGAATTCACAAAATATATATAATTAAAATAAATGAAAAAATAATAATTTAGATAAATATGTACGTAAATGTTAAATATGCGTATATTTAACAAAAACCAATTAAAAAGCTAATAAAATGACAAAAAAGTACCAATAAAGCATTTATTTACGAATATCACAAGAAAAAGCAAAAAAAGCAAAAACAAAATTGCAAATTTGAACTCTGTGATGAATGAATCGAATTTTATTTTTGATTAGCTATGTCCTGGAGTACTATGAAAGAAAATGCAAATGCTACAAAATCCTAGCCCTAGCACTAATAACTATATAGGATCTCAAGTTTGGGGATCGAAGCCAGTATAATATGCCTAACCGTTTTAAACATTGATCATTTTCATTTAAAATATAAGCCCCCTCCACACAGTGTAAAATAAGCCCCCTACATAATTCGGCATTCAAACATTTAGAATTGCATTAGTTTTTTTTTTAAATTAATGTAGATAACATTTTTGTTCCCAGTCAAAAAACTTGAAAATTTAATACAAGGTTCCTCATACGTTTTTATGGAATTTAATGGAAATTAAAAAACAAGTTGAGCGTAAACCTTCAATACATTTTTAGAAGCGATTTATAACAATTTTATGGTGAGAAATTTTAAATTTGTGTTAAGTGCGCTGAGCAGAATAATTTTATACGGAGTATAAAATTATGAACAAAATAAAACAAATATTCTGTCACCAACATTATTGTTTTCGTAGAGTCTATTTATAAACGGCAAGTGGCCCGGTTGCGATATGAAAACAGGTTTTCACCTATGGTGCGGTATGGTAACAGTAGTGGGTGGAGTGGTGATATGAACACTGTTCTTGAACGCTGCTGCTATTAGTCAGCAGAGCAGCTGCACATGACGGCTATAAATTTGTAATTTTCTTTACTGAAAACATGTTTTTTCTTACTTAGAATTTTCCTCAGCCCTCGTTAGTCGTAAAAATATGATTTTTTCACCAAAATAAACGTCAGAAGTTCTTTTAGAAGACCGAGTTTCAGGTTTTCGTTATATTTATATGATTTTCAAAATTTTCAAAAAATTATGAATATTTCAAATGCAAAAATAATCGGTTTTAAAAAAATGAAACCCAGTTATTTGGAAGAACTCCTCACGTTCATTTTGGTGAAAAAATCATGTTTCTACGACTAAGGAAAATTTGAAGTACAAAAGAGTGGTGTTTTCAAGGCTGAATTTAGTTACCAGAACGGTCTTTTAAGAATGTGGAAATTTTTTATTTTAATCGTATTTTACGAGTTACTACTTACCATTTAATAAATGCCAATTGTTGCTAGTAAAATTAAAAACGTATTTTAAATACGTCATGTGAATAAATAGCAAATTCAACAAAAACGTGTTATTAAATATTTACTTAATTTCAAGTTTTATCGATATTAGAAACAGACGAACAGAGCATATTGTTTATCATTTTTCGTATTAGGTAGGTGCACACATTTTGCTATTTTAGCACAGCATATGGGCCTATTTTATTTTAGTAAAAACTATAATACATGTGTTTTTTTTTAAACTCTACTCGACCTTGTTTTATAAGTTTTAAGATATAAAACTATGATATCATGTACCTACTTATATGTTTTAAAAAAATGTCTCATCACAGCATATCAAATATTATTTATGTTATCAAATTCAATATCTTTTTTTACAAAATGTACGTAATTTTTTATTGATGAAAATAATATATACATTGTTTCAGATTAGTCGTTACACACATTATACTTTCGTACTCAGTGGCGTAGGTACGAATTGGTGGTGGTGGTGGGGAGGGGGTCGGGATAAATCCCCCCCTCGAAGGATGAGAAACATCCCGTTTTGAAATGGTTAGAATGAAAAATGTACACATCATGAAAGTTGTAATGTTTGTATGAAATATAGTATTTGTCAAAGTACTAACACAATTTTGTCTTAAAATCTCAATGCACTTGGTTTACACAACCTCGGCAACCCGAAATTCATTTTTTTTTCAAAAGCTCTTCCGAATACATCATGCCACATCTATACTCCGAAAAACATATGTATAAAAACACCTCCCCCCATAAGAAAATTAAATTACGTTACACATAACGAATTTAGTATTATAAACACAAAAATACGTCCTGCAGATCAACAATATTATACAATCACCACGGTAACGATTCAATGAGATTCAATACTTTGTGAGACTGGAAATAATAGATTTGAAATTGTATATCTAAGTTATTATTAATTAACGTGACGAGGAGCTAATTATTTTCAAAACAATAATCAATCAATTATAATGATATTTTTAACTGTTAAGTTTATATTTTATTCGAACCATTTTAATTAGACCTGTCCTGTATAAATATTTTAATAAGACAGTTTATAAGGAGTTAAAAATGGGCAATTTTCAAATTGCATTCATGTGGGTCTGGTAAATTTGTGAGGTGGCGAAAGGAACCTAACATAACACATAAACAACCTAAAATTGACCCACCACCCACTCTCCTACCAATGATTTATAATAAATACAAGTACTATTTCTATTTGCCTACTATAATTATTGTTCAGTAATTGTTCTTCACTTTTATATTGAGCATCTACCCACCCACCCACTCACTCCTAAACATTAAAAAAAAAAAATCGAGAAGTAGGTAACTGTTAGTTTTGCCTATGAAAGTGTGAGTAGTAAGTGATTATTACTTATTAGTGTGTTTGGCTGTAATGTAAAAGAAATGGGTAAACGTTTCCGCAAACACATTACAATAACAGCCTCGGCCGGTTAGGTCAAAAAGTCCGGATTAATTTGTTTTATTGTTGGACAAAAAGTTTTTATTATGTTTAAAATATTGCTCGTTTATACATGATTCAATATTTAGCCACAGAAAAACACAAGAAACTAGATAAATGAGATTTCAGGGTAGGACTTATTGTGATTAGATATTTCTTGAATGTTATCAAATTATACTCTTATAGTGTAAAATGTTTTATTAGAAATACATATATTTAATAATAGAAATATATAGGAATCAATATTATGCATATAAATTGTCTTTAAGTTTACATAGTAATATAAACAAAATTTGTTGGCTGTATACAAATGTCTAAAATATAATATGTATAACTTCAGGGTTAACGTGAGCATTAACAGTTCTCCCTGTAGCATTATTCAATATTAATATTATTTTAAACAATGTACAGAAATGGATGCTGGTCCTGAACGACTAGTTGTAATCACCTAGTACACGCTGTCGTAGATAGCACAATATAATTAAGGCCTACTGTTGTTCCAGATCACTGACAGGTGATGGTGAAATGGACTTTGACGTAGTTGCCGCCTCAGTGTCAGGTTGATGGTGTTGTTGTGAATCTCTCTTCTGCTCCAACAACTTCATTTCATACTTAAACAACACTTGTTCAATGTCTCGTCGGGCCATTAGTTGTAAAGCTTTGTCGGCTTTAAGGTTACGCATCCGTTCAGCCACATAGTCTGAGAATGTATTGAACTCGTCGGATGGTGCATCAGGCCTAGACATTCGCATCATTTTTCTGTTACTGTAGCCTCCGCCATCATCATCTGAATAGTCTCCACCTGTTACTGGCTGCATACCTCGGTATTTTCTACACGATGACCACGTTTGTGGTTCCTGGACGTCCACAATAGGTTCCTGGTTGTGGTAGTCGTCCATGGACTCGTGCATCATTGAAGCCAGCACACTGTCCGCCTCATAGCCACTTGCATTTGTGTCATTTGCTTCTGCATAACTGTCCTCAGATGTTTGACTCCAATTGAAATGTTGATTTTCTGCATCCACATGCTAAAACATAATATTTATATATTTTAATAATTTGACAATATGACATTTACAATATATATACAGGGTGTAATAGAATAACCTGAAAAATTAAATAACTTGATGATAATGATGACTATGAAAATAATAATACTTTTAAAATTTTTAAAATTACCATACGACGGGATGAAGTGGCCCATTAACATTTTTCGTGATATTCATTAATATATAATGTTTAAACAGTTTTATTTAAATTAATTTAACTTATTCTATTTCCAGGGCATTATCATAATGAATAATTTTTTTGATGTAAGTGTCTTTTTTTTATCAAAAGATATATTTAGGTACCTCAAAAGCATGATTTAAGATACAATGTATTAAAGTGTATTATCTTAAATCGAACTCTAAGTACATTTAAATTATGTAGAATATTCATACTTTAAAATTTATATGATTGGTTGTTGTAAACATTTTAACATAATACAAATAATAAATGTGTTATTATTTTGGTACTTGAATTTGGAATTGAAAAATCAAATATTTTAAAAACGTCGAGTGAAGCGGACCTAATCTAACCGGACCTCAAAGAGCTAAGAAGCTACAGAAAAAATCATACTGGTCACTATAGTTTAATGTAAACTTAAAACATTTTAACACTGCCTTTTCTTCTACCGGTCAATTTCATGATCATTCGTTGTGGTTGATTCTTTTGTAAATAATTGTAGAGAGTGAGCTTGTTTGGAACCTAATCAGATGTAGACCGCCATAAAATACCCAGCTACCTCATGCAGAATAATGGTTTAAGACCGCAATATGCGTCACCAGTACCTGTATATACGTAGTAATAAAAAAAACTCTCCAGGCTCCAAAAAAGAAAGAATAATGTATTAATGTTGATGTCTTATGAAATATCGTCTAATCAATTTTTTTCTTAAGAAACGTTATCAGTTCGACACACTTAATTGCGTCCTCAATTTATCAGCCGTGTTTGGATGGGTTATCAATTGTCATGCAATGTCAGTTGTCAGCTGCAGCTTTAACATTGCAATTGCGGTAGTCCGGAAAACTGTGAAAGAAAATTTAACTAAAATTCACTTTCACTTTTCGACATTTTCTAAAATCCTATACATAGGTTGAGTCAAAACTCTAAATATTAAAGGTTCATTCGTATGTTTAGGTACTATATATACCTCATACCTGTAAAATATGTTCATATTATTAATATTGTTTTTAAATTTATTACCTATTAATAATATGTTTATCTGTACCATTTATCGTATGAGAAACTAAGTGCAACAGTAAAGATGGCTTTATAATTTATAATAAATTAGGCAAAATTAAAAAAGATGTTTTAATGCATTTCTAAATAAATCATTTTTGAGTATTTATTATTGAGCCATTATTGTTCATAAACATGCTTTCGTATTTTCAACATACCTACCAAATATAGACGACCTAATGATGATGATGGTCTATCTCATCTCCCATGGTCGTAGAAACAACAAATGGACAAGTTTAAAAAAAGTATCATATTGTATTAATAGTCGTATAGTATTAGGTCGTTACATTAGTTACATTAGGCTGATGATTAATTTCATAAATTTAATTTAAATGAATGCATTTCGAAAACTTTCAAATTTCGTTTTTGAACTTTACATTTAAAATGTCTAATAAAATTGATTGCGTTCGAACATTTTACGAAAGCGTAACTAGAAAAATTTAAATTTCATCCATGTTGCTGCGATCTCTAAAAACAATTCTAATATTTAATTGACCAATTAATTATATATTTTAATTACGTTTAGTAATTAATATAGTCGGTCTAATGGTTATAGATCGATAATGTTTTTAGAAGAACTTGAGTGACGCCACAACGGCGGATACACTACACTAAAATTCAGCACTGATTCTTATTACAGCCGCCTTGCGGTAAGTCATTTTGTTAATTATATTTTTTAGCTTTATGTCTATATTGTATTTTTGTTTAATAATTAAGGTCGTTACATTAGTTATTATATGGTTGATATAAAATAGAAGCCATAGAGGTCACGTAATGTTGTGAAATAAATTATGAACTAATATCAATATATTATAATATACATTGTTGCATTATACGTGAAATGTAAATAAAGTATACTTTTAATTTTAAAGTGAGTGAAATAAAATAAAGTACCGACCAAATTAAATTGCTGGAAATCGTCAGTAAGAGCTGCCTAGACCTACGTCTCTACAACGAAAAACACAAATAATGTACTTTTAAGATTTCAAATTATAATTTGAATCATTTTGAGTGGGTCAATATAAAGACATTTATCTGTATTCCTCGAGCCTATTTATACTTGTTATCGTTATATGTATGCATTATATAATGACTTTAGAAGTTGAAAGTCAAATCGCTGATATATTACATGACATACAAAGTTTCGAAAATGATTTATTTTAAATTTAAGCTACAGGTCAATAATATCCATTAATTATAAAAAGTTATAGAAACAAAATTATTTCAAACTCAATCAACAAATACATTTCCCTAACCTATACAATTACAACGTGTACCTAAATTCGTTGAATTGTATTATCAAATTAAACAAATGTATCATACATCAAGACAAGTCATCAACAAATTTCGATGACTGCACTTAAACATATTTATCCCGCTAGGTTTAATTTTATATTCGTAATTATTGTAGGTATTCATACCAATTTTCGTAAATAGCCAAAATATTTTATTATTTATTTTATATATTTTAATTCACCACAGGATGGTCAGAGTTTGATATAAGGTTTGTTTTCAAACACGAAATGGTCAAATTTATTGAAGAATATGCGTGTGTCGAGATATGCTGTATGTGAATGTGAATTATATCAAAAGGTTCTGAAAATATATGCGGGGCTGGGGAGTAAACTCTACACGACAAATTAAAATAAATGGACGTGATTTGCCTTCGTATACATTTTCTTTTAGTTAAAAAACGACAAAAACATGCACTAACCCGTGATGATTTATTCCAATGAAAGAATATAATCCAAAATACATTTCATTATACCACACTCATATACAGCTCAGTAGCTCACACCACAGTCATTTGATTTAGTGGATAGACCAATATAAATAGTAATATTAAACATTGTTGTTGGTGAAATAAAGTAATTATTATTATTAATTATGAATCATAAATTATACGTGACGTGTATTAATAAAATATTATGTCAATATTCTAGTACGCGTAATATTATAAGAGGCTCTGTATCAGCGTCATTTATTCAGCGGTTTATTCATAGTATCACTTGTATAGCTACTATTAGTATTTATTATAAAAATATAATATTAATTATATTTTGTGTAGTATTTATTATACAAAAAATATGGAAATTAGCCCAAACACTTGTATTTCCTCAATTCGTTTACAGTTTTAATATGTCCATCTCACGCAATGAAAACATATCTCTTTCAATTGTGAATATTTATGAGGTTATTATGAATTTATTAAGTTTTGGATTACCTATGATTAAACGACATTGGGTTTTCTGTCATACAAAAATACAAAATATAAGTAAATTAACAAAATTGTGTTTAAATAAAATGTGTAATTAAACCTTAAATTGTCAGGCTACTGCCGAATGAAAATTGTTAATATATTAACAAATATTGTTAATGACGTACAAATAATTAATCATTACGACAATACAATTTCTTTTTTTTTATAAAAACAATTTGTTTTAATCAGCAATCAGTTTGCATCGCTGATTTCATTATTTAAATCGTGTAATTGCCAATTGGGAGCTTCAATTTAGTAGCAAACAAGGACTACATAGATACATGTAGTAATATTATAGAAACTATACTACCATTATATACGATACATTATACAACAACGGTTAATGTAAATATTACACTTAAAACAATTAAACGTCACCAAAAAAGATAAGTTCGTTTTTAATGATATGACTACATAAAGAATAGTTTTAGATTAAAGATTGCACTATAGATTTTTATAGTAAAGAATAGAATCCACATTCCACACATGATTTATTTTTGTTAATAGTACTTTTTACGCACTTATAGTGAGGTGAAATAAATATTAACATTAAACAAGAAAACTGTATAGTTTAGACTGTTTAGAGTCCAGTTATTTTAAATCATAACTCATAATAAGTATACGTTTATAAGTTATAACTTTAGATACACCGTTCACAATATTGATTCAAATGTATGTCTATATTATTATAATTAATTGATGAGTTGTTGTTTTCGTAGGTATAGAAAATGCATGAATACAAAGAACGATGTATCGAAAGAATGATAAAAAATGAATAATTTTCGGTGTGACAAATTTAGAAAAGAATACGTTTTGATAATGCGTTAGACAACATAATGTGTAAAAAAATAATATCGGATGTTACTATATTGTTACTAGCGTTATCTTTATAGAATACCTACCACCGAAGTTAAGTTATGTGGTACATTATATATTTTATCAGAGTCTTAACAATTATTGTTGACGATAGAATGACTTTGTTTCATTTATCATTAAATTTCATCAATTTGTTAGATGACGAGAAAACAAAGAATAAGCGTTGAAAAGGCATTGAATAGTTTTGAATGACTATTGCAATATTGCTGTAATATAATCGTTATCCTTCGATTTTCAAACGGTTCATTATATGATGCGTGCCTTACTGAAGAAATATATTCTTCTAGAATATAGAATATAATTAAAGTAAGGACTAGGTCTAAGAAAGAATAGAAAAGGAAAATAAATAATATTTTTTGATCCTAAACTCTATGATGAGTGGTGTGTGATCTACCTGGTATTTTCGACCACAACTCTACGCATCTAACATAATATATGGTTCATTGCACTTGAAACCTGTGCTGTGTACACATCTTGTACAGTTGTACTAATTATTCGTTTTTCATAAATCATGTATCATAATTAAAGTATTACATATATCGTTGTCGTCGTGTAAAGAGTAGTAAAGCTAACATTTTTATATAATTGTATTTTTAAATAGAATATTTG